TTATTGCGAAATTCATTTTATTTCAACTGATTTTGGTGGTTTAAATGCAAAGGCGAATTCTAAAATTTTTACATCTAATGCCTAGATTAACGCAATCAGTTTCCTGCAATGGGCTTCTATGCAAAAATTTTAACTTGTGGTTTAAAATCCGATAAATATTTCTCACTGTCAATTTTTTTTTGGACAGGTTGGCCAGAAAAAAAACCTTTAGAGGTTAACGTTTTATTTCAAAAAACTTCTGTTTCACGGTAAATAGGTCTATCAGAGAAATGAGCTATCAAGCAATGGGTTATCAATTTTAATAGATTATCATTTCGAGTGGGCTAATATTCGGTCAAACTTCTGTTCCAAAGATATCTTTGTTATTGAATTTCCGAACGAAAATTTTTGAAGGACTAAAGTATTTTTTTTCCAATGCTCGCCTGGGGAATGACCTACGCCACACAGGCAGCTGAAGGGCAGATTTGTTGGCACCCTATTAGGTGGGCCAACGTTGCTCCCACAGTTAAGGACAGATAGTACAGAAAGGGAAAGAACATCCATGCTTTGCCCGGAATTCGAACCCAGAACCTTTCTGATGAATGAAGGACTAAAGTAGAGTAACGAAATTTCTACAAGCAGCTAACATTTTGAGTCAAAATTCAATATCGTGATTTCTAAATTCTAACATTTACTTCATCTTACTATTTATGCTGTTATCAACAAATATTTGATGTAATGTTTTACTTTTTAAATCTCCGTATATTCCTTGGGTGGGACAAGGCTCTCCTTATCTTCCTAAATTTCTAAATAAAATATTAGTCAACACTTGCTACTGCTTGTTTTAACGGTAGGTTTATCGATCGTTAAATATGCAAAACTACATTTCATACCATAACTACATTTTAGCTATTGAGCTAACGAACAGGGTTGCCGGATTTAAGCCAAGATAATACAAAGCTGGTGAGTTTTTTTGTTCCAGCAACTAAAATAAGATCGGTAAAATAAATTAAATGCGGACTTTTATTAAAAGAAAATATTTTTCAAAAATCGAGGTGACGTAAAAGAAGCTCGGTAATTTTAATTACATGGTACAGTGCATACAAAAAAAGATATCACTCTGAATAACAGTTGTTCTAACGATCGGATTTTCACGTACATGTTCTAATGTTCGGGTAATGATCACGTACATGTTTTCAGGTTCTAATGATCCAATTTTCAGTGTCAATCTTAATGGTTCCTGGGGGTGACCTCAAATATGCTAATTATTTAGTGATAACTAATAAAATTACGAAATGAGACACAGAAACGTACTTTCTCTGAATATATATATATATATATTTGGATATTTAACCTTCAAAACATAGGGCATAGCCACAATCTTGGAAATTGGTCCCCATAGTTTAATCAAGAGAGGGATTCAAAGTACGAACTTCTTAATGGTAATTTCCCTTTTCGCGTTTTTAGTCATATTTTAAAACTAATTAAGCACTTCATAAAACAAACAAAAAATATGCACCCATTCATAAAACCCATTTACCCAAAGATAATTTTATGAAGAATTTTTTTTTAATAACTATTATTTTTTTATAATTTAATGTAATTATGGATAAAAAAAATTTAATTTTGATGTACAATTTTTATAGCATTTTAATCTACGTATTTTTGTATATCAAAATCAGAAGTTTCAACCGTTTTTAGTAGAAACCGAGAAAAATCACAATTGTTTTTAGAAAAATAATTTGGCGAAAATGAAGAAATATATTAAAATGAGGGAGATTAATATTATTTAAATGCAGATAATTTACGACAAAATTAACTTACGCTTTCGCGTAGCGTAAAAATTTCATTAATTTTCATATCGTAGCATAATATTTGTTTCGGTAAAAACCGATTGCTAATATTTTTTTTTAATTATAAAATACGATGTTTCCTTTGTAGTCCTAAAATATTTGTAGTACTAAAAATTTATTCGTAATTCAGTAAAGAAATTCGAATAAAAGATTTTATTAAATAAAAAGCATTTCATTCAACGAATATCTAGTTTTATAAAAACATGTTTTTGATAGAATGATTATTCATCAGCTTTTTTAATTTTATTTTTTAGTTTGTCTTTTCTATAATTGATACAATTTTAATAATATACATACGTATGCATAGATTTGGAAAAATATATTTATCAATTTCTTAAGTATATATTTTATACTTATTCATGCAAATACGTAGTCAACATTTTTAAGCATCTTAAAATTTTTCGACATCTTATATATTGTTTTAATCTTAAAATAAATTTTTTAATTACCCGTATGCGTGTGTTTCGCAGAACTATTTCACCAATTATATAATTAAATTTTAACAGTTCTCAAAATCTTTTTCTTTACGCTACCAAGTATATTTCTTTATTAATATACTAATAATTTTTTTTTAAATTTAGATTTTTTTTTAAGTAAAATTCATTCTTAATTTATTGTCAAGTTTTCATTAAATGAAAACTTAGAATTATTGCTAGCTAGCTGGGGATTAAATCTTGTTAAGAAATTAAATATTCTGCTGATAAAAACTATTCTATGCCAAACAGCTATTCTATGCTATATACTAAGCATACTGTTAGAGGGACCAGAAAGTAATGTCGTTTCGGTGCATTTGATATTTGTTAAGATTTCATTTTTAATCAATGATGTATTCACCCTCGTTAGCAACAACGATTTCAATGCCAGATCGAAAAATGATGAATAGATTTTTAAGACTAACAAATATTTAGTGTGACAGAACGGCATTATTTTCCGGTCCTCCTAATACTTTTTTTCGAAAAAAAAAATCGTCTTTTTTATTGTTTCTTTTAAAGTAACGAAAAGTAAATGCATATGTATGCACATCAAAAAACTACAACAGATTGCTTTGTTCTTTAAATGAACGACAAATTGCGCACATACAATTTTATGTTCAAACTTGTTCTCGCCCCTCTAATTTTAAGAAATTGCCCTCTTAAAAAGGTTAATGTTGAAAAAATTTGCTTAAAGTTAAAAACTCACCTTCAGAACAATGAAAACAATAAATTTTTATATCAGGAAAATGCCCGATATGCCTTATTTTGTGAAAAAGCAAACACTAAAAATACAAAATTGTAAAAAAGATTCCAAAACGGTAAAATTTTTAGAATCATCTAAAAAAATTGTTTTCTCGACTTTAGAAGTTCCTTAACCCTTTGCGGTCGTATTAAGTTTATACATGGGTGTCATGCTGGTCGGAATTAATTTTCGTTGAACGAATAGTAATACATAATATGCAATAATGCATGATTATGAAGAAAAAATAAAATTTTTTAATTCTTTTTCAAACTTTAGATATATGTAACACAATATGTTTTAATTTCGTGTAAAAAATATATTTTAACAATTTTCTATCGTGTGATATCTTTCAAAGCAGTCATCAATATGAAGCCTTGGTTTTCGAGAACATGTGTCGCAAAAAAATTAGTATGGCATCTTCCGACTTTGATTTTTCTGTTTGAACATTCAGAATAATCTTTACATCTTCACCAGTGCCGCAATATATGTAGTTTGCCATTAAGCTGTGGCTAAGAGCAGACATACGTCTGGAACGGTAAAAAAGCGTTGGTGGCTGAGAATAGACATACGACAGCAAAGGGTTAATACTAAAATAAGATATATCAAGGGATTTTTAAATAACACAGTATTTTATACCTGTAATTAATATTTTCAGCAAATAATTTCAATGTACTTTTTATCGAAATCATAAATAGAAATTGTTCTTTAATTTCACCGTAAAAAAGACAAGAATTTTAATGTTTCATTTATGATCAATTGAAACGTGACAATTAACCCCAGAATTGAAATTTGTTTCGAGGTAACATTTAATTGCCTGAAACTATTAGAAACAATTAAACTTATTAAAATAACAAGATTAGAAACTAAACCTGTTTCTTTATTTTGTTAAGAGCGGCAGGAAAAAGGAGAAAAAGTAGTCCATTAAGTTTGACACTTATATGAATATCCGATTATTAGAACGAAAATTATCCAGGGTTATACCTTTTTTTTTGGTGCACTGTACATTACTTGGTATGATTTTATATGATAATTTGAAAATCGTTAGTTTATTGGAGAAACAGATGTAAACTTTAGAAGCATTAAGAACAATACTTTTAAACTACTTGAAATTATAATAATCAATTTCCCACAACTTTTACAATCAAAAATATTTTAACTAGTACTTTTAACAAATATAAGATTTTTATAGAAAATTCCTGATAAAAATATTTATCACAATTTATGAAAAATGTTTGTTTAAACAGGAATATTGTATGAATTAAAACGTGACTATAATATAGTTAGAATAATATTTTAGGCTGATTTTAAAGTAAGTAGGGTGAATTGCACAAACAAATGAATTACTGTATATTAATCACATTTTAACCGTTTTTGTAGTAAGTACCGTTAAAAAAAGTAAATAACTTCAATTAGGAAGACATTTTGCTTAGAAAAAATTGAGTGGAAAAATATACTTATTACTAAAGTTTATTTGCACAGTAGAAATTTTAACTAATACAATCTTATTAATAATTTATTTTTACACTGGGAAAGATGCATTACTCAATGCATTACTCTATAAAATTCTAATTTTTTTAAAACTTTATTTTAGGCTTAACTACAATTTTAATTTGGATAATAACCCCATTTATTATCGGAACGATTCAATAAAACATTTATATCTTAAATTCGTTAATTGAATTTTTTTTAAACAAAATAAGAAGTTATGACAAAGCAAAATCGACGTAACTGTTTATGAACAACAACATTATTGAGTTTATTTTACAATATATAATTTTATTTTTACCGTATTTTAGGACCATAGCAGAATGAACAAAGCTTAAGTACGGCTCAGCAAATTTAAGTTTTTAAATTTTGAGATTTACCCATAAATTATTTTAACTGGATAATGCAGATATTTCAGTAAACATTTATTTACTTTTGCTACAAAGGATTCAGTTCCAGATGGTTTTATTTCCGTTATTAGAAAACACCGTTTTCTATCAGGACGTGATAGTTAACATTAACCCTATAATTCATTAAATAAATTTCAATCAATTTTTTGCCAGTCTACGTCAAGATTTTGAACGCTTGCAGAAGATAAATTAATCATTTCAATTAATTCGTATCGCGGAAGAAAAGCGGTTTTAAACCTAATCAGAAGGTGTCAAACCGTTTTGATGAAAACGATTATTTTATTGTTAGAGTTTTTGACAAATATAATGTTTCGGCTAATTCTTGAATGCATTTTCATTTAAGAAACACACGAAGATTATTAAATCCTATCACTTACCTTAAAAAAACTATGATTTCTCTTGGTTGGATTAATGTTTCCCAAACATTTTGAAAGCTGAAAAAAATACCACATTATTGATTAAAATTACATAAATATCTTTGCAACATGATAATAGGGGCCGTTCAAATATTAACGGGAATGAGGTTTTTGATTTTTCTTATATTTGTTGACAAGGGGCAGGCAGGATGCGAGCAATGCTTACGCAAGTCATTTCCTATAATAATTTCAAGTTGTTCTTAAAAAAGAAAAAAATTAAAATTTGGAAAAAATTGTGCTTGAAAAAATTTCAAATTTTAAATAAAATTTTGGAGAAAGAAAAAATTTGGTCAAAAATTTTTTTTATGTGTTTCAGAGTTTAAGAATTTTAGTCATTTTTAGAAAAACAGTAAAGATTCTTTAAAAATATTCTTCTCAAAATTGTATATAATGAATTAAAACACCGACGTTTTTTTTTTTTTTGACAACTTACATTATTTATTTAAATGAAATTCTAAAATTAGGTTACTTCAGGAAAAGTTAAAATTAGAGCAAAGAGGTGTGTTGGTACTTTCTTATGTAAGCAGAGGATGTGATTTGCTTATTCTTGCTGAGAAAGGGAGACTAAAACGAAAAAAAAGGCTTTATTTGAACGACCTCATGTAAACATAAATATTTCCGTTTTAGGATGTCTAAAATATTTGTTGTTAAATATGAAGAAATTTATAAAGAAATCAAGCATTTTAATCATTAAATTTAGAAATTATTAATTACTTTTTAATTTTAATGAATAATCAAAATTAGAAATTTTTTAACTAATTTCACTTCATTCGTAAATGAAGATAGTTAAATCTTAATTTTTAATAGCAGACTCAAAAATTTTAATCCTAGAAAAAATTGCAGTTAATATGTTTATATTGTATTAATTGTTCGTCCAATATTATTAACTTTAGTAACGTTTTAACGGTTTCTGGACGATTTTTATCTTAGCTACTTTTACCTATAAAAAGGGAGTTAAACATTTCAGAGAAGGATCTATTTAAAATAATTAAAAAGTATTACATTAAAATATTTTACCTTATCTGCAGACCTGGTGATATATATATATATATATATGCATGAAAGCTTCTTTAAGCTTTGCTTTACATGTGGCGCTATCATTTTACGCCTTACATTATTTCATGTGTTACATTATATTATTCTTTTTATTTAACACTTTACACTGTATTTTCTACTATTATTTACTTTTCGTCTTTTACACTGCGCTTTACTTCTAAACTTGACCTTTATTTTTTAACTTAATTTTTTCTTTACTTAATATCTTAATTTTGCTTAACACTTCATACTTCTTAATTTACTCTTTTACTTTATTTTTTAGTGTATTTATTCTCTAATATAATTTTTAATTTATGATTTAACTAAACTTTTAATTTGAATCATATGCTATTTATAATCGAAAAGACTCAATAAGCCATCAACCAAGACCTCCTAGAAGAAGGAAGGCCTCAGCACGGATCAATTTAGTAGTCCGATCTAACGAAGTTAACTGCGCAGTAGATGAAAAATAAGAAAAATGTCATTTCGTTAAGGGTACTAAGATGCTCAGTAGTTGAAAATACGAAATATGTCATTACGTTTGGACTACTAAAGAATATTTATGGTAACCCGTCCTAAGGCCTGCTGTTATCTAGGAGGTGCTGCATCAACTCAGCGCTACAATGGTTAAATCTTAATGCCATAGACGAAGCAACCATCTACTTAGATTCCCTCTCGTCGCTCCAAGTCAAACTTACAAATTTATAAAAACACCATCGGTTACTAGACTGCAGACAAACTTTTATTACAATCAATTTTTAACGGGGCACTGAGTGTTCGGTATGTATCAAAGAAACTTTTTTCAAAAAGACGATAAATGCCCCAATTGCAATGAAATCCAAACCATTAGTCACTTATTATATAAATGTACACGCTTCCGAACACTCCGAAAAGACTTCGATAGTATAACCGAGCAACAAATATTTGTACGTAAAGGATGAAAGATGATCATTAATGAAGTAATTAAAACATCACTCAAAGACCTGCTGTCACTAATAATCTTAATTAACCTCCACTCCACTCTGTATAAATTTTTATTATAAGGTTTTATATTTGTTTTTCAGTAGGTTTTACTGTATGGACCATCGCCCATTTCAGGGTTTTAACTCTTCTCTCACTTTTATTGTTTACCTGTTTTACATTGTTGTTTTTAAACTCACTGTTGTTTTAAACCTGATCCTTATACACATTTTATTATCTGACTTTTACACTGCCTTTTACTTGTTTAAATATCTCAATTGGGATCTATTTTTATTTTTTTATGTTTCACGCTTTCGTTAACTTCATACTTCACTTAATATTAAATTATAATTTACTTTTTTTGACGCACATTTAATTTATTACATACTTTACTTTGGTCTTAACTCATTAGTGTCTACTTAACTTATTTTACATTATATTTCACAATTTTTTACACGCTTTAACTAATACACTTTTTACCTAATTTGATATACATTTTAGAAACCCTTTTAACTTTACTTTTTTATATCGTTAATTTATATTTTACACACTTCTTTATATTTTACCCATAACATTTTCTGCTTAATATTCAACTTTATTTTTTTTCGCTTTACTTTTTATTTTACCTTCCATTTAACGCTCTGCTTTAATGGCACACGTTACTTAAAGCTTAGCGTAAGTATTTACTTTATACTTTAAATTACAGAATAATTTACTTTATACTATGTTTCACTTAGCCAACAATTTAACACATAAATAAATTTACTCTGTGATACGCATTATACGCTTTATACGCATTAGCTTTATTGTTTACATTTTTTTCGTTACGTTTCATCTTATTAGCTTTTTTTCTTTACTATATATTTACGCTTTAATTTATTCTTCGCTAGCTACTTTTCTTGAATTTTTTTATGCTTAGTTTACTTGATATTTTGACTTTATACTTCATTATTCTGCTATATTATATTTACCAAACTACTTTTTACTATCTTTTACTTAATCATACTTTGCAGTATACTTCCAACTTGCAGCTTTATTCTGTGGTTAATAAAGTAATTTTTTTTTATTTCGCGCTTAATCCTTTTATACTTTAGTCTTCACTTCTTATTTTTTACTTCTCAAATTTCTTATTTTACTTTATATGTTACGTTACAATACTTTTCCTTTAATTTTACGCTTTACTTTGTAGTTCACGTTTTACTTCATTCCTTACATCACATACAACTTTCTGCTTTATTTTTATTAACTATACTTCATTCTTTACGACTATGTTTTACGTTTCGCTTTACATTATTCTATTCTTAATTTAAGCTTTACCTTATACATAATTTTATACGTTACGCTTTAGATTACTTCACACTTTACTTGATGTTACTGGATAATTTACTTTAATCTTTATTTTATACTCTAAATTTTTAAACTCTTCACTTAATACTTCAGGTTTTAAGTTATACCTTGCGTTTCACTTTATGCTATACATTTTACTCTTCAATTTATATTTAATACTTTGCTTTACATTTTAGGTTCTAAGCATTCTCCATATTTGCCTCTGTAGTTTATTCCTCGTGTATTGCTTTTTCTTTACTATTTCGAACAATTTTACAATTATTTTACAATTTACATTACTATTTCGGCAAAATATTTCACTTTTTTTATTTAAATCTTTTACTGATTTTATGCGTTATTTTAAGCTTTGTCACATCTTTACTTCATACTTCAATTTACAACTATGACATACTTTACAAGATTTATTTTACAGTACTTTTAGTTTAAAAATTTTTTACTTTTCGCTAAATTTTACATTTTATGATTCACAATCCGCTTTTACTTCATATTCTATTTTATACTATGCTTTACTTTCAATTATATTTTATTTTACTGCCTTCTCTTCACAAATTCTTTTCAATATATTTTACAATTTATTACATACTTTACGCATTATTATATACTTTGAGCTTTATTTTATGATTCGCATAATATATTCATTTGTAGATTTTTTCTTAATTTTATGCAAGGTTTACACACTTTTTATTCTATGTTTCGTTTATTTTATGATTTTCTTGGTCAATGTGATTTTATTATATTTTATGTGATAATTTGACNCTTTACCTTACACATAATTTTATACGTTACGCTTTAGTTTACTTCACACTTTACTTGATGTTACTAGATAATTTACTTTAATCTTTATTTTATACTCTACATTAAATTTTTAAACCCTTCACTTAATACTTCAGGTTTTAAGTTATACCTTGTGTTTCACTTTATGCTATACATTTTACTCTTCAATTTATATTTAATACTTTGCGTTACATTTTATGTTCTAAGCATTCTCCATATTTGCCTCTGTAGTTTATTCCTCGTGTACTGCTTTATCTTCTAATTTACATTACTATTTCGGCAAAATATTTGACTTTTTTTTATTTAAATCTTTTACTGAATTTCTGCGTTATTTTAAGCTTTGCCACATCTTTACTTCATACTTCAATTTACACTTCGACATACTTTACAAGATTTATTTTACAGTACTTTTAGTTTAAATTTTTTTTACTTTTCGCTAAATTTTACATTTTATGAATCACAATCTGCTTTTACTTTATATTCTATTTTATACTATGCTTCACTTTCAATTATATTTTATTTTACTGCCTCCTCTTCACAAATTTCTTTCAATATATTTTACAATTTATTACATACTTTACGCATTATTATATACCTTGAGCTTTATTTTATGATTTGCATATTATATTCATTTATAGATTTTTCTTAGTTTTATGTAAGCTTTACACACTTTTTATTCTATGTTTCACTTATTTTATGATTTTCTTGGTCAATGTGATACTTTTATACGTTTACTTTTATCATGCGTTGATTTTAATTTTGCGCGTTACTTTTCTTTATGTTTTAATTTATACACATTTTATTTCGTATTACATTTTCTACTTTTCATTGTGCTATTTATAACCTCTTTATTTTTCTTTTGCGTTACTTTTCCTTTTCTCGTTCTGTGTTTTATGCGTTACGTTTATCGGTTAATTTTACTTTTCTTAACCGTTATTTTAACCTTATTTTTTTAACCGTTACATATTAACCTTATATTCTTAACCGTTGCATATTCTTTACACCTTTGTCTGAACACAATTTGTTTACATGTGACGCTAACATTTTACGCCTTACATTATTTCATATTTTATGTGTTACATTATTCTATATTTCATTTTTTATTTAACACTTTAAACTATATTTTTTACTATTCTTTACTTCTTAAACTTTATAATCTACGTTTTAATTTTATACTTAACGCTCTACTTTATTTTTTAACTTAATTTTTTCTTTACTGTATATCTTACTCTTTGCGTAACACTTTATTCTTTACGTTACGTTTTTACTTAACTGATGCTTAACTTTGAGCAACTTTTATTCTCTAACATAATTTCAACTTTTTGTGTTTCGTTTTCTATTTACTTAACTCACTTTCAAATTTACTAAATATTTAACATTTTACTTTTTATATTTTACGCTTTACACTAACTTTCTTTTTAAATTTTACGCTTTGCTTAACATTTATATTTCATGCATTACTATACAAAATTTTGATTCTCGCTTTACTTTTTTATGCTTAACAGCACTGTTAATTTGGATAATACCCCCATTTATTATCGGGACGATTGAATAAAACAATTATATCTTGAATTCGTTAATTGAATTTTTTAAGCAAAATAAAAAGTTATGACAAAGCAAACTCGACATAACTGTTCAGGAAAAAAAATATTTCGTTAATTTTACAATATATGATTAAATTTTTATTGCAATTTAGGACCATAGCAGAATGAACAAGGCTAAAATACAGTTTAACAAATTTAACTTTTTAAACTTTGAGATTTCCTCATAAACTATTTTAACTGGATAATGCACCATACTTAATTGAGATATTTCAGTAAAATATTTATTCACTTCTGCTACAAAGGACTTAGTTCGAGATGTTTTCATTTTCATCAATAGAAAACACCGTTCTCTATCAGTACCTATTTTTCGCCAGTCTACGTCGAGATTTTGAAATGCTTGCAGAGGAAAAATTAATCATTTAAATTTAATTGCATAGCGAATTTTTCCCCCGCAATAAAAACCTTAAAAAAAAGTGGTTTTAACCTAATTAGAAGGCGTTAAACCATTCTAAAAGAAAACTATTATTTTATTGTTTGAGGTTTTGACAAATATAATGGTTTGGTTAATTTTTGAATGTATTTTCCTTTAAGTATAGGAAGTAAGGTATGATATTAATATATTTCTTTATTTATATTAAGTATTATCATTTTCCCGAAAATTTATATAAATGCTAATAAAAAATATATAAATGAACACGAAGATTATTGAATTCTTTGAGTGGTTAAATGACTTACCTTTAAAAAAACTATGATGTCGGCTTTTGGTAAAATGTAGATTTCCTAAACGTTTCGAAAGCTGAAAAAAATACCACAAACTGATTAAAATTACATAAATAATATGCAACACAATTATAGGGGCCTTTCAAACATTACTTAAGGACATAGAGGGGGGGGGATTGGTAATTTGCTTATATTTGATGACAAGGGGCTGGTAGGATGCAAGCAATGCTTACGAATGTCATTTAAATCATATGATGTTTTATGTAAAAAGGTAAAGGACAAAAAAATGATAATTTGGGAAAAATTACACTCGAAACAACTTACATTTGAAATAACATTTTGGAGAAAGAAAAAATTTGGACAAAAATTGCTTTTTTCTAGAATTTTAACCATTTTAGAAAAACACCGAAGATTCCTAAAGAATATTCTTCGTAAAAATTTATAAAATGAAATTAAAATTTTATAAAATTAAATATCTACTATTGTTTTGTTTTTTTGAAAAGTTATATGATTTATTTAAATTAAATTCTAAAATTAGATTACTTCAGAAAAACAAGCTTTATTTGAACGACCTCATACAAATAGAAATATCTCAGGTTTAGGATATTTAAGTTATTAGATGTTCATTAGGAAGAGATTTATAAGTATTATCAGTAAATTTAGAAATGCATAATTAATTTTTAATTTTGGGAATTTTGATGAATAATCAAGATTAGATATTCATAATTAATTTCAATTCGTTCATAAATGTAGAAAGTTAAATCTTAATGGTAAGAAACAGACTCAAAAATTTTAACGCTAGAAAAGATTGCAAGTAATAAGTTTATTTTGTATTAATTGTTTTTCCAACATTATTAACTTTAGTAATGTTTTAATGGTTTCTGCACGCGGTTTGTGTCCTAACTACTTTCAAATATAAAAAAGGGGAGTAAAACATTTCAAAAAAGGATCTATTTAAAGTAATTAAAGAGTTTTAAATTAAATTAATTTACCTTATTTGCTGACTTGGTGATTTTGCATCACATTGAACAATATGATATTGCGATCACGCAATTTTAGGCTGCTCAATATTTTTTGGACCCACGTGCCTTGAAAAAAATTAGAAGTTTTAACTTTTAACTACTTTATTTAAAAGTTATTAAACTTGAATTTACTGCTCAGATTCTCAATATAAAAAGAAACAGAAAATATTTAGAAAAAAAAAACAACCACATCCATATTTGTAAACTTTTATCGTATCTATTTCCAAATTAAATTATTTTTTTTTCCTTTATAGAAGAGCTAACTTTTCAACACTTTTTGTTGAACTGTTGATGATAATTGCAGTTAGAAATATATATACATACCTCAGGGTTTCCACTGTCAGTAAAAATTTTTAAACTGGTGACAAAATTTAGAGAAAACTAGATGATTTAAACTTCTATTAAATTTTTAATTTGAAAGAAATATGTATAGAAATATATATTAAATTTGAAAGAAATACGCATATCTAATTTCTAAAATGAAAGTTAAATTCAAGTTTTTTTCAGTAGCCTAGAAAAATTTTAGCTACCACTATTTTATTTTTTCAATGCCGTGGCAACGCTGATAATATATAATCTGTAGTTTTATAAAAAATTTGGAAGAAATAAATATGCTTTACTTACAGCAAAAGTCTTCAAATCACCAGAATTGTTCGAATTTGAATTTTCGGAATTGTTCAAAAAAGTCCAGCAGTTCTACCATGTTTGAATTAACCAGGTTTGAATCATCCAAACGAGTTCTCATCAACCGAAATACTATGCAAAATAATCCTAAAAATCTAAAACATGTTGTATTAAAAAGAATAGCATGTTAAATATCATTAATTTAGAAAGAGATCGAAAGCAAACTTGGAATAATTAAATGTTTTAAAATTAAAATAAAGTATAAGAAGTATGCGAAAACAATGATAGGAAGAAAATGAAAAGAAAAATACTATAGTAAAAAAGGGAATAATAAATAAAACATTGCTTAAGAAACTCAATGAAAACTAAAAAAGCCACCATGTGGAGAAAAAAACAGACGCGTTCAAATGAAAAAACAAGAAACAAAGCGTGAGCAATTAGATTTAAAAAAAAACGTAATTACAAATGGAAAACATGAAAAAACGAAAAAGAAACAATGAAAAAGCAGAAGAAAAAACACAAAAGGAAAAAGCGAAAAACAAATCACCAACGTATAAATTTAAGACTAAAAACAAGGTACCCAAGACAAACGGATAAGAAAAGTAAAAAGAGGATATAAAAAAAGCACCGTGAATGGATATAAAACAATGGATGAATGGAAAACAAACACCATGAATAACAAGAAAATAAACACGATGGAAAAGAAAAATACAAAACACCTCATATGAATGAAAGACAAGCACAATGAAAACACGAAAAAAAGCATCACCAAAAGCAAAGTGGAAAAAATAACCCAACATAATGAAAAAATAGATAACAAAAACAAACTCGATGAAAAGGTGAAAATGAAAATTACTATTAGAAACAGAAAAAATATAATAAAAAGGGAAAGAAAGCGCCATAAACATAATGAAAAATGAAGGAAAAAAACAAAGACAAAACGGAAAAGAAAAAGAATGAAAAACAAAAAGACACCGTGAAAAAAGGATAAAAAAACAATAAAAACGGAAAGCAAACACCACGAAAAGATTTTAAAATAAATGCACCATGAACAACCGAAAAGAAACGTAATGAAAATGCGGAGAACAGACATATAGCAAAACAAAGGACCCAAAACAAACGAGAAAAAAAAAATAGAAAGCGAAAACCAAAGTTTCTAGAACAAACAGAAAACATACGTAATGAAAAAAAAAAAACTGAAAATGAAATACCATGAATGTAATTAAAACAGAGGAACATAACAGAACATAAAGAAAGAAGGGAGAACAAACATAATGAAAAAAGAACGGAAAATTAAAGCGGAAAACAAACACAATGAAAGGGAGAAAAACGAAACACTGCAATAAAAAAGAAGAGAAACTGTGTCCAGAATAGACAGGGAAAAAAAAAGAATAAAAAGACGAAAAATAAAAGGCACTGCCAACAAACAGAATAAAACAATGACAAAAGGGAAACAAAAAAAAAAAAGAAAAGCAAAAGAAAATCATTGAATGGAAAACAAAACACAATGAAAAAATGAAAAACGAAACAACCATAACAAACATAAAAGAATAATAAAAAGACATAAAACAAAATACCGATGAAAAAGGAACACAAACTTAATGGAAAAACGAAAAAGAAACATAATGAAGTAGCCGAAAATAATCATAATGTAAAAAATAAAAAAATGAAGAAAGAGAAAAAACAATGTGAAAAGGAAAACAAACACATTGGTGATAAGAAAAACAAAGCACCGTAAAACAAATAGAAAACAAGCATAATGAAAAAAAAAGCACAAACAAACAAAATAACAAACACCATGAGTAAACAGTAATCAAACGCAATACAGACGCAAAATACGGACAACAAACACGAAGAAATAAAGGAAAACAAAGCAACCAAAATAAATGGATAGAAAAACAATGATATAAAAGACAACGAACATAATAAAAGGAATATAATGAAATAACGTAAAACAATTACAATGAAAAGACGAAAAAAAACGTCATGAACAAACGAAAAAAAAGGAAAGACCAAACATGAAAAAAAAAATTGAAGAGAAGAATTTAGTACTGTTAAGAAACGGAATACAAACGTTGAAAAAAAAAATAAATAAAACACCACGAACAAATCGAAGACAAACACAATGAAATAACAAAAACAAATATTATGAAGAAACGAAACAGACATGATGAAAAACGGAAAACATTTCTAATAAAAAGTTGATAAACAAAACATCGTAAACCAACGGAAAAATCTATGTAAAAACGGAGAACAAACCCAATGAAAAGACGAAAAACAAAACACCTCGAAAAAAATGAAAAGGAACACAAACATTAAAAAATACGAAAACAAACATTGAAGAAACGGAAAACGAAACACCACAAAATGAAAATATGAACGAAAAAAGCACCTTGAACCAATGGAAAAAAAAAACAAAGAGGAAAACAAATATAACAAAAAGCAAACATAATGAAAAAACTGAAAACTAACATAATGAAATGAACCATCACGAATAAACTTAACCGAAGAGAAACTGAAAAGGCAAAATTTTATAAAAAAATCCTCAAAAAAGACACATGAGTAAAAAAAAAATAAAAAGAAAACACCACGAACAAATCGAAGACAAACACAATGAAATAATGAAAACAAATATACTGAAATCCGGTATAAATATTATGAAGAAACGGAAAACACTTATAATAAAAAGTTGATAAACAAAACATCGTAAACCAACGGAAAAATCTATGTAACGGAGAACAAACCCAATGAAAAGACAAAAAACAAAACACCTCGAAAAAAAAGAAAAGGAACACAAACATTAAAAAATACGAAAACAAACATAATGAATAAATGGAAAACAAACATTAAAAAATACGAAAACAAACATAATGAATAAATGGAAAACAAACATTGGAGAGACGGAAAATGAAACACCACAAAATGAAAATATGAAAGAAAAAGCACCTTGAACCAATGGAAAAAAAAACAAAGAGGAAAACAAATATAACAATAAGCAAACATAATGAAAAAACTGAAAACGAACATAATGAAATGAACCACCACGAATAAACGTAACCGAAGAGAAACTGAAAAGGCAAAATTTTATAAAAAATCCTAAAAAAAAAAATACATGAGTAAAAAAAAAAAAAAAAAAAAAAAAAAAAAAAAAAAAAAAAAAAAAAAAAACACTACGAACGAATCGAAGACGAACACAATGAAATAACAAAAACAAATATACTGAAATCAGGAACAAATATTATAAGGAAACGGAAAACAGATATGATGATAAACGGAAAACATTTATAATAAAAAGTTGATAAACAAAACATCGTAAACCAACGGAAAAATCTATGTAAAAACAGAGAACAAATCCAATGAAAAGACGAAAAACAAAACACCTCGAAAAAAAAGAAAAGGAAAACAAACATTAAAAAATACGAAAACAAACATAATAAATAAATGGAAAACAAACATTGAAGAGACGGAAAACGAAACACCACGAATAAATTAAAGAAAAACACACCACAAAATGAAAATATGAAAGAAAAAGCACCTTGCACCAATGGAGAAAAAAAAACAAAGAGGAAAACAAATATAACAATAAGCAAACATAATGAAAAGACTGAAAACGAACATAATGAAATGAACCACCACGAATAAACGTAACCGAAGAGAAACTGAAAAGGCAAAATTTTATAAAAAATCCTAAAATAAAAAACCACATGAGTAAAAAAAATAAATAAATAAATAAAAAAACTTCGAAAAAAAGTACAATGAATAAAAAGAAACTTGAAAATTGCACAACGAAAATAAACTTGGAACAGACAAAACGGGAAAAAAAAATCGAAAAAGTACAAAGGAAAGAAATTGAACAAAACAATTGAAACAATCTAGAAAAAATACAATGGAAAAAAATACAATAAGAAAAAAAAAATGAAAAAGAGACCACATAAAGATTTTCGAAGAGATAATGGAGAAAACTTGAGGGGAAAGGAAACTGGGGAGAAAAAAAAATTAGGAACACAATGAAAAATTGAGAAAAAAATTTAAAATTAAAAAGCAAATTGAAAAGACTGAAAAATATCAAAAATTAGGAAACGCAAACGCGATGACGGAACGACTGCATTTCGTCGCATGCAGTCTAAAGCGGACGTAGGAATGATGAATTTCGCGAACTAAGCATTAAAGATGCGTACCGGAAACGCTTTAACAAAAATGTATGAACCAGAAAAAAAACCGGACAAAATTTTGTCTTTTCTTAACCCGAAGATAAAACGCATCATTTGAGTAGCTACTCTACCTCCTTGCGATTACTTAAAATATCATAGAAAACAGAACTTCTAAATAAATAAATAACGAGCCTTATAATTAAGTATTATTAGTAGACTTACCTTTACAAAGAAAAGTATCATACCATTTTTTGAACTATTTTTTACACCAATTTAAACTTACCAATAACATTCAGCTGCTACATAATACTGCATTCAAGACTGTTAGACAGGTACTTACATTACTTCTTGTAACTTTTCTTTCTCTTGGTAACCTGAGGGGGGGGGAAATATATGATAATTAAATTGAAATCATTACATTCCAATGTCTAATGAGATATAGAATTATTCTATCTCAATTGTTTATTTTTGTTTCCGCTTTCTTAAATATCTTAACATTAAACGATAACGGAGCCGAGAATTTCTATAGTTCGTTCACCAGGAGTTGGCACTCAGACTCATAGTTAATTTCAGCATGGGAGTAAGAGGAGACACATATCCGCGCTTGAAAATGAGACGAACCTTCATGCGCGGCTAACGCAAACAGTGACTTCTTTTTCCGTCACTCACTTCGCTTTAACCTTTGCTATTGTACCTTCCGTTACTCTAGCTAATTAAATATACTTTAAATTTAAAAACTGCTGTTTTCTCAGAAAAATGTCTCAAAAAGGACAACATTTTCACTCAAAAGAGTGAAATATCATCAAATTTATGAAATACTTAACGTTAAAAAAATGAACACAAAGATTGCGAAATAAATATTTTTGTCATATGATTGTCAAATAACAACCTTGTTCAGGATTGTTCACAAATTTCTCCCAATAAATAGTGAAATAGTATCGTCGGATACCACGTGATGAAGGCGGAGCGAAGGTGCCAACTCCTGGTGAACGATTGACTGCAGATTGACTGTTTTGCTTTGTTAGGGGGCAGAATAAAGGGCTTTCCGCTTTATCCACGGTTAATGTGCGTAATAATGGCTACCTCAACGTTAAGGTTCAAAAATTCCGTTCTTGC